CCTATCCTCCTATCTGCAGGTGATATGCTGTACTGAATACCAGTTGAGTCCCTAAGGCTTCCTGCAGGTGATCCCAAAACCTAGAGACAAACTGAGTGCCTCTGTCAGAGACTATGGTCTTGGGTACTCCGTGTAAGCAAACAATTCGGGAGAGGTATAACCTAGCAAGCCTCTGTGTCGAATAGGTTGTTTTTACCTGAATGAAGTGTGCCGCCTTGGTTAATAAATCCGTGGTAACCCAGATAGCATCATTTCCGTGTTCTGACCTTGGTAATTCCACAATAAAATCCATCCCTATTTCATCCCATTTCCATTCAGGCACTCTGAGTGGCTGCAATAATTCTGCTGGTCTCTGGTGTTCTACCTTTATACGCTGACACGAGTCGCACCGCGTGACGTATACGGCTATATCCCTTTTCATCCCGTGCCACCAAAAAATTTCTTGGAGATCCTTGTACTTCTTGGTTCCTCCTGGATGAATGGAGTACGGGGACGGGGAGGTATGTGCTTCTGCCAAAATTAGTTGCTTTAGCTCTTCCTTGTTGGGTATGCACAATCTTTTCCCGTACCACAGAATTCATTGGGTGTCAATGGTAAATCCAGATGCCTTGCCTAAATTTAGTTTCCTTTTAATTCCCTCAATACCGGGGTGTCTTTTCTGAGCTTCCATGACCTGATCTTCCAGAGTTGGTTTTATTTCTAGGCGGGCAATGGTTCCTTCCGTGACTAGGACCATGTTGAGTTTGGCAAATTCTCGGTTGAATTCATGCTGGGAGAATTGCACACTTCATTGCCGGTGCATGGATTTCGGCTGAGAGCGTCTGCCACAACATTTGCCTTACCCGGATGGTAATGAATTCGCATATCATAATCCTTAATTAATTCAAGCCAGCGACGCTGTTTCATGTTTAATTCTGGCTGAGTGAAGATATATTTAAGGCTTAGCCACTGTGTGTTTCACTAACTCTAATTGGTACCAGATCAAAATTATCCATAAAAAGAGGGATTGGAAGGTTTTACTCAACTGTCGATCGCGGTAGGCATGCATGTGTTTATGCCGGTTTGATGGACGTGGCTGTCGCCCCTTTATTGTGACGTGTCTTTATTGTGACGTGTCAGCACTACCTGCTGCCCCAAACTGAATTCCATTTCCCATCTTGTTGGGCTCACAAATTCAGTTGGTTGACATGCTGCTTTACCGAATAAAGAGCATGTAGACGCAAAGAATTTTCACCCTCGAGAAGTACTGTAACTAAGAAAGCAGACAACTCGTATCCCCACAATTATAGTGTGGTTGTCAAGCACAGCAGTCTTGATAGTTGCAACAAGCTGTGAGTAGATAATAATAATAAAAATATTTTTTATATTTTTAGAATAATAGCTTGCGAGGGCATCCCCTCTGATCCAGCGAGCTGCGGGTGTGTGAGAATTTAATTTCTGGTTTGATGGATATTCGCATTATCTACTATAAAGTAATATGGTCCTATAACGACTGCAAGAATATTGTGCTAAATAAAATGTCACGTGTGCATGTTACGCCTAATCATTTTTATTTTGTAGGTGAATGAGTATTATCTATTTTGTAAGTACTATACTAATATATAAGTCACTTGTATGTGTCATTAGGTCAATACATAAATTTCATGAGCTAGACAAGAGTTTTTATGCGATGTTAGATCAGTTACGGTGTCTCAGCCCAGGGGTCTCTCACCACGTCGTTTCCCGGGCTGGTGGGCCGGGCTGAGGACCCCTAGGTCGGTTCCGTCCAGGGCCATATTAAGGGGCCCATGACAATTACATGGAAGACTCTGGAACACTTGCCGTAGAAGCCAAAGATGCCGGAGTCGTGGAGTACTCTACCTCCACCGACGTAGCCGACAAGGATATGTAAGTCCAGGGCCCCTGGTGTGTTATATAAGCCGGGTCCAGGCTAGTCGTAGAACACCAACACAATCCCTCGGTACTTTGTACACACCCCTATCGCAATACATGAGAGCAGGAGTAGGGCATTATCTCGATCGTGAGAGCTCGAACCTAGGTAAAAGCTCGCCTCTTGTTACCATCTAGCCTAAATCGCCAAGGCGGGATACCCTACCTTGGGATATGCCGGAATCGTCTCCGACAATCAGTATGCCAACATTCATATTGTCGGACGTTTGAATTAGATACTATAATTCTGTGATATGTTCTAGATTTACTGCTATCCTGATGTGACGTTCCCTTGAGTACAAATTCCACGTACTCCCTCTAGTATGCTGTTAAGACTCGGCATAAAATCTCATGACAGTTGGCGCCGATCGTGGGGATAACTAGTAGAAAACATGGCTTTGGTCCAGGCCTGAAAAGGGCATTAATCCTAGTTCTCCTACGAACCGGGACTAATGGGTGCATTAGTCTCGGTTCATGAGGCCAGGCACCGGCCGGGCGTCGAGGGCCATTCGTCCTGGTTCGTCTGACCTCTTTGGCCCCGGTTCCAGACACGAACCGGGACCAATGGGCCTCGCTCCTGGCGCAGCACCTTTAGTCCCGGTTGGTGACTGGAACCGGGACTAAAGATCAGTCTTCCGTCCCGATTCTAGCCACCAACCAGGACTAAAGAGATGCCTATATATACCCTCGCCCCTGCCCGCTCACTCCTCTGTTTTTTGTCCGTGTGGGAGGTGTGGGTGCGCTGCTCTCTTTTCACTTCTATGCATGCACATGAGATGTTCGATGAAATGCCAGAGCCACACTTAAGCTTTCTCCTCTCTAAGCTCGACCTCCAAGGTTCATTTTCCTCAAAATTTGTCTAGAATTGTATATATGTAGTAGCGTCAGATAGATATACGAAAACTTGTTGTTCGACCAAGCACGGAGAAACAGAGGTCACTTCTCTCTATATATGTTCATGACGATCTTGTGTAATTAATGGTTTTTTTCATTTGCTTACTAGCTAGCGTCGAGTTTTCTCTATATGTATAGTAGCCACGACCAAGCACGGAGAAAGAGAGATTACTTCTCTCTATATATAGTAGCTAACTAACACAATATGAAACTCAAT